TCATAATGTAACGCATATACGCGCATTCTACTGGCTGCCGAGCGCAGCGAAGGCGGCCTCGATTCGCTAAAATCGGCATTATGTGGTGGACACATTGTATGTGGTCTATACCTCGCACTTAACAGCACCGTTCAAATTTCATTTTGCCCCATTTTCAACTGTGGGCCGCCACCTCACGCGAAGGGCGCTGCCTGTGTACGCGTTAGTTAGCATAATTAAAAGGCGCCGACGTGCACACACATACAATATCGTCGTAGGAGCTGTTGAAAAAAATTGTAGGCTTTGTTGACTCATATTTCGGCCTCAATCGAAACATTAGTACTTATTGGTTTTAGAATGATATTTTAGGCTTCGTAGTCCTTTTCTAATAAAAAATACTAACAATACTGTTTTGAGTAGTACTATTACGACATTTAATATTTTTGTTTGCAGCTATTTGTAGTAGTACACATAATAATTATATCAGCGTTTAATAATAAATAGCAATTGTATTACTATTTATAATAATGTGAAAAACTTAAAATATGACTATTGTGGCTTACACCCCTGCACCCCACACTGCCTGCAGGATAAAGTGTCATCTTCCTTTGTATTTGCGCGCGTAGGGTGCGACCTTCAGATATTGTGCGAACTTTCCAACAATATATGTAGCGTACATCAAACAAAATGGGAACAGCTATTGCGTTTAAGTTAGCGCGGAGGCACGTAACTCAGCAAGAACACGAAACACGTAAGAACACCGAACCACACTATGAAGACGATGGGATAGAAGAGCAACACGAAGCACGGAAGGTCATGGACGATGATAGAAGACTTAACCGATGCAAACCACGAGGTTTTATGCGTAGCGTGAAGGACGGAAGAGCACACAGCCATGAAAAGGACAGAAGAGCGAGAATATGACGGGGGCGTACGGGCCACGGAAGGGAAATAGATATACAGACACCCTAGCATGCTAAAAAGGGTGGCTACGGAAGAGTACGCACGTAGCGGTAAGAGTGCATGGACAGCAAATCTCCCATTGCACCACGGAAGAGCACGGAGCACGGTCGACGGACCAGGCATGAAGCGGCGGGAGTCCGAAAACGGGAAGTCATCGAGCATTAGAGCACGATATCAGGGTAGAACCGGATCTCACCGAGCCAGGGAGCACGATACTACGGTAGCTAACAATCACACGGACGACAGACCAGCCGCGACACCACAAGCTAGCACGATAGCATGGGCTGTGCCACTAAGCCATGGGAGATCGCAGCCGCAGAGCTATAGACGTAAAATCACAGTGCCGCGGAGAACGTTACCAGTGTTGAACCCGAGCTTACCGAGCCACGGAGGACAGTACTACATTAGTACTAGATTGCACGAACGGCGGGCCAGCCACGAAATAAACGGGGAGGTGGGCGCTTGGGGTGACCACGATTGCACACCACGGAGCACGAAGCCATTGTAGAGCACGATAATATACGGAAAATGCAGATGCACCGCGCGAGTACAATATATTAGACAGCATTACCACACCGGAGTTGCACGATAGCGTGATAACGTAGTCGATAAAACCTCGTCCGGAGAGCACGATACACGGGTGACGGAACAATACGACTGCGTGGAGGCACGAAACCACGGAATAGCACATTTTGGCAAGCGTACCGGCGATTGGAGGACACCGGCCACGAAAGACTACGTACCACGAAACCGGTGCAACCCACATAAACGTTTGAGAACAGAAATATGTAGCAGCCACGAAAAACGCAATACTCAAAAGCATGAACCCTAAAGAGAGAGCGCATAACCGCTGAGCAGCGTGGGCCACGGGTGAGCAAGAACCACGAAACCGGGAAGAGCACGAAAGAGCATGGACCATTGCAGAACATGACATCCAGCCTGTAGTACGAGGTAGCCGAAACGCTCCAAGCCACAATATTATACGGGGCCGAATGAGACTACGGAAAAGCAAGTGGTTAAATACACGATGCCAAGATCTACTGGGGTGAACGACGCTAACAAAGTACGTGACATTAAGAAGCACTTAAATTTGCGGCCACCGCATCTCCAACAAACCATGCCACTCCGCCGCGTAGCGGCGGCGAGCAGCTAGACATGTTTACGCCGGAGCGCAGCGAAGGCGTGAGCCCATTTCCCCTGGGACTCAGCCTGCCACCTCCGCCGCGTAGCGGCGGCGAACGGCTAGTCCTAAAGTATCAAGACTAGCACGGTGTCCGTCCGTCACACGAAACGCTCAGGTTTTTGAGCTTTATCATTGGCTGCCGAGCGGAGCGAAGGCGGCTTCGATTGGTTAAAACGAAATTATGGAGCTTACATCAGTAAATTCATGTGGCTCACAGAGCACATATGGAGATTTGCACAAGACTATCCATTATCCGATGGCGGCACGAAATTATGTAGCTTACATCAGTAAATTCATGTGGCTCACAGAGCACATATGGAGATTTGCACAAGACTATCCATTATCCGATGGCGGCATCGTTTAAATACATGTACTACAAAGCTTTAATTTGTACTATTTTAATATGGGAAGCTGCTATTATTATTAAAGTGTTACATTTTTCTCAAATGAAGACGCTCCTATGCTGCAAAGTGTTAAGCGTACACGTGTGTTTTCGAGGCCATACTATTGATGCACAAAATATTATGTTCTTTATAGTTTCTGCAAGAAGCAACGACTTAAAGAATAACTACAGCTGTTTTTGTTGTATATGTATAAAGAACATTTCTGAATGGGAGGTAACCGACTGAGCTGCCAAGCAGAAGTACATGTACAACAGAAGCTGGCCGTAAGAGCAACGCTGTGCTAATAAACGTTGTCGCTTGAGCCACTAAGATAGATAGGATTAGATTGAGCAAAAAGAACTTATATGTGCTGATGACAATTACTACTGTAAGCGATATCCGAAGGCGGCATCGTTTTTATATTACGAAGTATTTACTTTTTTAATAATGCATGTTACTTTAATATTTGAGTGCTAAACAGAGAGAGCTACTTATTCTCAAATGAAAAAGGCACTAAAGATGCTTCCAATGCTGCGACGTGCTTAGCGTACACGTAGGAATGCGTGTTTCCAAGGACAAACTATAAGTATACGTAGTAGTATGTCCTTAATAAGTTTTGCAAGCTATTGAAACCGTTTTGTTGTAGAAATATTAATAAATTATCTGAGAGTGAGGTAGCTGACTGAACTGCCAAATCATAGTACATTTACAACAGAAGCTGGCCGTAAGAACAACGCTTTGTTCATAAGCGTTGTCACTCGATCCATAAAGATAGATACTGCAGTTTTAGATTGAACAAAATGAACTCATATGTGTTACTGCTGTAAACCATTGTTTTCTACGAGCTGTTTAGACAGCAAAATCCGATACTACTTAGCTGGCGGACGTGTCGTCGACAGGGGCGTACGATACAATTTAATATGGGCCGGCAAGACAATAACAAAACACGAGAGGTGTGAATTATAGTTGATTAAGTAGACCCCATAAAGAAACGCTAATACACTTGGAGCCTAAACGACGTCCAATAATCCTGGAATCATCGTTAAATTATCAAATAGAAAACACTACCGTCAACAGCAGCAGCAGCAAGGCGTCTTGCGACACAATATTTAAGTGCTTCAATCATAACTGGCACAGATTCGAGTGCTAATTTTGAATCAGCACAAAATGAACGCCATATACATCTAAAATTAATTATATTTTACTGGTTTAGCTTTTTTTTTCAGTAAGTTTGATATGAGAAGTGAGCAATCTTTAGTTACGTACAAGCTGAAATAGGCAGTGCAGGCAGGTGTTAATAAGTAGTGCAAGCTGGACAGGCCATTACTATCGTTTGCGCTGATGTGAGCTAAGTTTTATAGCGGCTCAGAAATGGCCCGTGATATCGAGCACGACGCTAAACTAAACGTATTGTGTAGCGTTTGTATAAATGTTATTTGAAGTGCTGGTGGTTTTGGATGGAGGATGAAGATACAGTGATAGCCAGCAATAAAAAAGAGATTGCATCAAGAATCTTGATATAAGATCATTAGAATATTTATTATTAAATCTGGTAAGCATGATGCTGGCCCAAATTAATAAATTAAAAAAAATCGATTTAGGTACACATGGGTTCAGCATTTTTTTTCAATAGTTATCCCGCCGAAGCGTAGCGTAGGCGGGAATGCCAAAACGTGTAGAACTAAACCTAATTTACCGCCGCGTAGCAGCGGCGCTCGGCTAGTCTATAATACATGTACTGTAGATCTATGATACAGTAATACAGTACTTTATGTGATGCTACGCCAAAAAATACATAGTATGCTTTTCCTGCAACAACGAGTCAAAGTCACTTTAACCTCCTCTCATTTTGTCCTTGATTACAAGTTTTTCGTTTCGTAAGACGAGTCGCTGGTAGATAGTGACAAAACGGCTAAAATTTCGGCCCGTTTTACATATTTACAATACAGCTCTCGCAACCACACTCTATATCTAAATTGAAACTTCTAGCTGCAAATCGTTATTATATAATATAAAATAATGAGACAGCCCAAAACAAGATGATTCTTAGACGGAACTAGTCAGACATTTGTCAAACCAACAATTCTGCTCTGTATGATGTTTGGTAGGTGGGTACAAATGTAAGCAGTTTGTAGCTCCTTGGTTCTCATTGATACGCACTGCTAACTACTTGTTGTTTTTGCTTTCTTCCTCAACAGTTTTCCTACTGTCGCCCAGCTCAGCTGCCCGTGGCGTCGCTTTCGTGAGTGTTCGGTGATGTCGTCTACAGCGACGCTGCTTGCGCACTTAATGAACACATCGGTTGCAGCATCGATGGCAGTGCTACAAGGAAACAGCTCTTTAGATGTTGCATCTTTCTCAATCTTGAGCATCACAAACCGAAGCTGGCTAAAACGCTTCTGCATCTTCCTGTTGGGCATATCACGACCATCAAGACGGCGAAGCGGTGGTATCGGCTTCGACTTGTTACCACACATCCACAGCACCCACACGTGACGTACGGAGCAATCAGGGATGGTAAAATCTGCGGGTACACGCCGAAATTTTCCACTCCAGTAGTGGCAAAGCTGACCCTCGTTGCCTTTAGTGGCAGCGTCGACAACAGATTCTTGTCTGCTCTGCTGGATAGCTTCTCGACAAGCTCGCCAACGCCACTATCATGAAGACACGCTCTTATAGCATCATGACGACCGTCGTAAGTAACCGTTCCAGCACCTATAGCTCGCTTCTCGAGCTCGGATATAATATCTTGAACAGTATCAAGCCGGGTAGCTTCAATTTTTGACACCGATTCCAGCAAACCGTCCTTTAGACCCTTCATTTCACAGAGTATAGCCACGTGAGGTGGAACCCCAGTCGGTCGTATACGCGCCGCAGCGCAACCATCACCCGTTCTAATTCTGGTTGTGAGATTTAATAGCAGTTCTTCGTCTTGGAAAAGCGGCGTCTCAAATAAATGGTGCTGTGGAGAAAGCGTAGCCTTCAGGAAAGAGGAATGATAGACCAGCGAAGCCAGACAAAACTCTGCAATGTACTCGAGCCTATTGGGTAGGCCAGGGAACATCAACTTCATCCCGTTTTCGACGCTCTCATCTCGTGAATCAAAATGTGGTGCTAACGTCGAGAACTGGTAACTTTCGGTAGGCAATCCAGCCACTGTACGACCGACATGCATGTCGCCAGCAGCTTCATATCGGAGGTAGGTGATTTGAGCACATCCAAGCGACCAGCCGGCTCGCAAATGAACCGCCGTTGATGAAGGACAAGCCGTTGACCCTGACGAACAAAACGTCGCTGATCCTTTCCGCATAGAGTGAGTCCCTAGTTCAGTAGCGACAATCCCTTGGCGCTGCAATTCCGTCGCGACACTCTCTTGCGCCAGTAGACGCAGCCAGCACTTCCGAAATCGCTCGTATTAGTTACTGCCGGGAAAAAGGAGATCGCCGTCGCCAAAATTAGAAACCGCCCAATATATACCTAGTGCCACAATTGGACAAATACTTGGTTGTAGCGGGTTCGCGTAGATATGGCGCGGGTCACGCGGTCGGTCCCCTCCTTGATCATTCTTCATATGCGCGAAGTAAATCTGCAGTGCATCACCCCTCCATTCCATGTGTGAATGGCGAATGCCAAAAGCATTAGACGACCGACACATTAGGTTCCACGCAATCACCATGTACGCGTGAGCAAATGCCATATCCTTCCCCGAGTGAGAGAGCATCTCTTTGCACAAGAAAGAGTACAGATCGAACATGAGTGGGTCCTTACCAGTCTTGACAGAGCTCTCGCCGTTCGCTGCGTCCTTGGCAAGTTTATGCTTGAGTCCTTTAAAGTAGTTTGTCAGCTCGGAGTCTAAATTCTTGGTCATGGTACGGCCGTAGTCACGAAACAAGTTAAACAACCCCGCCCAGTGAGTGTTTAGGGCAAAGTAGCTTAGAGCACAGCCATCCTTTCGCTCGAGCGTCACAAGCCATGTGACAAAATCAGCTGCATCTAAGGCCTCAAACTCTAGCGGGATGACAGTGCGTCTTTGCGTAACGAGATCTTTGACACGAGAGCGCAGCTGCTGCAACGTGCACTCTGATATGTCACTGAGGCCATCGAGGAAGGGCTTGGGCACGAGATGCGGCTAATTGCGGATAAACCAAGCGAGGAAGCGGCAGTATGAGCTCGGGTAGGTGGCCCTCGAACGCGCGGTGACTGTGTTTTACGAATATCACGAACTGTTTTCTCTAGCTTCTTTCAATCATGGCTATCCATTTTGTGTTAGACAAGAGGTCTGACTTCTTCTGCGCAAATTGCGATTTGCTGGCGTTGTACTCCAGCTGAATATAGGGAGGCGAAGTAAGATTTCAGAAAATGTTAGACCTTATGTCTAACGCTAATACCTGTGTGTCCCACATTGTCGTACATATTTGGGGGAATGATACTTATGAACCTAAGTACGAATCGCGATTTAAGCACTCTAAACGAAAGCGGGGCGTCTCCTCTATCTTTTGAGCCCTTAGAAGCTGCAGAATGCTTAAAACTGAAGAAGTTGTGGTCGCTCAAAAATATTATCTTCATTTATGGGCCCTCGAAATGACGATACATTTAAGAGTGTTGTGAGCTCGATGTTTTTTTTAATTTTAGAGATGTAAGTTCTTTGTTTTTTATTTTTTGTTGAAGCCCTTGGTGTTACTTAAAACTCTTGCTAAAAGCAATTGAATAAGGATATTTTTACAGTTTTTTCGATGGAAATTTACTATAGATGTCACGGTTTCGGTTAAGTGCGATAACCAAATGGCCAACTTTAAGCACGATTATCTCGATAACTCTAAATGGTTCGTAAGTATCATTTTGTTTGACGTTGTTTTAAATATTATTTGATCTATCAAGTGATTTATGTTTTTAAGAATACAAGTACTACTGTACATTTTGTATTGACTAACTACAACGTAAACGTGTTTGTGTTGACGACAGTTTTCTCTGTAACATTCCTGGAAAGTATTGTCAGATCGTCGGTGGTCGTCGTTGTCGTGGAGTTGCTTCCTTAGCAGGGGTTAATGGTAACTCCAAAATCGGTGAAGTTAATATTGTGAAAATATTACCTGTAGATCAGTTAATATAAAAAACATCACCTAATATTTTCTTTCGAGACAATTTGATATTATTAAATATCAACTTAATATTAGCTAATACGATATTATATTTTTTTAAGTTTGCGTAATCAGGATAAATTAACCAATCAGATGTCGTTAACGCTCGACTAGCTGAATTATTACTAATCAACCGTGAGGGAGGGACAATTGTGAGAGTGACGGCAAGGCTGGCGTCGTGTGTTGGCACTGCTGAGCGCATTAATCTAGCGCCACAGGTAGCAGGTTTATTAGACGCACGATGTGGACGAGGAGATCGGTAGAGAACAAGAACACATGTCTTGATTTCGCTCTATCAACGTTAAACAGCTGCAAGCGTTTGCAGTTTTCCATCTCGATCGCCTTTGTCTGTGTCACAGTCAGGGCTCCCGATTATGGCATGGTCTTTTCAATTATTTCTTATGAAATCATAAAATTATTTATTTCTTCGATTACCTGGATGTTATTAATAATTTATTTGCTTAAGGAATCATCCGACATAATTTATGAGCAAAACCTCTTTATCATTATGTACCTCACAACCAACCGTGACTTTTCACATCTTAAACTCTCTGCTACCAGCACGTCTCTAAGCCAGCTATACGACACAGCTTGCTCACGGCCTCACTTTTTAATTTGAACAACTCGAACCAAGCCCCTCGCTAAGCTACTATGGTTCTTGCCACGCTCCCCCGCCACCCCACGATCACGCCAGCCCAGGTGACTGGGTTCTACTTCCGACCGTGCCGTCCCGCGGAGGGCGAGATCGTCTCTAAGTACTTCCGCTGTCGTTGTGGCACGATTCGGAAGCAGACTCGCCGGAATGGCTACTCCAACCTAATGCAGCACGTCCGTCGGGAACACCCGGACTTCGAGGCTGTTATGCTAACTGCAACTACCGCCGATACAGGCTCACTGTTAAACTACGTCCGTCGGTCAGCCTTCAACATATTTGGCTGGCTCGACTGGGTTGTCGAGAACGGTCTCCCACTCCACTTCTGTGAGAATGCCGCTGCTAGAAGGTAACCATCGTTTAGCCAGATTTAAATACGTAGATTATATTTAGGCTAACTAAATTTTGTGCTGCTCAGATACTCTAATTTGGACCCAATTTGTGTCGAGACACTTCAGCGAGCAATGGAAAGTCTCACTCGGATTGTGGAGCGTCAGATCGCGTCCGAGATGCCTCAGCGATTTGGCCTCATCCTGGACGGCTGGAGCCACGCGTCGGAGCATTTTGTCGCCGTCTTTGCTTGCTACGAGGTGGACGGCGTCGTAAAGACCCCGCTCCTGTGCATGGCACCACTGCTGAGCGAGCCGGACGAAGATATCTCTGCGCGCGGACACTACGAGTTCCTAGCTGGCATGTTGCCCCGCGACTTTGGTAAGCAGCTGGATGCCTGTTTGTTTCTTGTAGGGGACAACTGCGCCGTTAACCGGCTACTAGCGACGCTCATTGGTGTGCCGCTCGTTGGCTGTGCTAGCCATCGCCTGAACAGGGCAGTTCAAGTTGATATGGAGCAGTATGAAGACGACCTATCCGGTGTTCAAGCTCTGATGATGCGCCTACGTACACTCAAGCAGTCGGCTAAACTCAGGTACTTACCAGTTTTGGTATCTATTTGTAAAATATGTTGCTAACTTTATAGGTTATTCTGTACGGCTATATATATTGCAGGTCGAAAACCTCCCTTCGTCCTGTAATTCGACAGGACACACGATGGAGCTCGACGTTCAGCATGGTTCACCGGTATTTTAAGCTTCTGGAGCACCTCGACCCCACGGACGACGACATTGTGGACGTCCTCCCCGCCCCATCCTGTAACAAGCGGCTTCTTTTGCTGCTAAAAGACCTAAAAAAGGTTGTGTCCGTGTCCAAGGCACTTCAAGCTACAAGTGTAACATTGCTGGACGTGCGTGTGTGGTTCGACGGTTTAATTGCCCTAAAACCACATTACGCAAGGTTTCTTGGTACGTCATTATGTCTTTTTCTCTACTAACACGCTGATTTATTTACAAATTTTATTTGTGTGACACAGGACCACGCGCGGACATTGTACACAGCCCAGACTTCGAGTCGGCGTGTGTGCGTGTCCTGGGAGGGAGCCAAAGACTAACGAGGGTCGAGAAGGCAGTGCTGCAGCCCTTCCGCTGCCTGGAAGAAGAAGAAGAGCACGCACGAACTGCAGCAGAAGCGGGAGACAGTGGAGATGAAGGCTCATTCGTGGCGAGTCTACAAAAACGTCGCCGTTTAGCAGCAGTTCAGCCGCGGTACGACCTGCTTAGCTGCATTCCACCTACTTCTAACCTTGTTGAGAGGTTTTTTAGCGTCGCCAGGACGACGTACGGTCAAGAGCGCCACAGCTTACAGCCAATTACATTAGAAATGTTGCTGTTCTTACGCCAAAATGGTGAGTATTGGTCAGCTCAGACTGTCGACGAGGCCACTCGCTAATTATTAACATGGTGTTGGTTTGCTTTACATTATGCTCTTATTTATTGGTTGTTCGCAGTACATAACATAATGTAATATGTGATGGCACTAGCTGCCCAATGCCATTATTTATGGTTAAGGAAGGCTCCCATTAAATAACAATGCCATAATCGGGAGCCCTGGTCACAGTGAAGTACTAGAGCAAATACTCGTCAGTCTTAAAGCCTACTGCTTTTCTAGAACCTGATCGAAAAAGTTATATGGCTCCGCTCGGTTCACAGATGGTAAGGTGGCAAGAAACGTACTTAAGTGGGAACTATCATAAAATATCATGTAGTATCTAATATTTCTCAGTTCTCCGAGTTAATATTAGAATATTATGTTAACTTTTGCAAAAATAAGCTACTATTAATATATAATATCGAAAATAGTACTACTACTATCCAAAATATTATATGATATTTGGTTACCATTAGCTCCTGTTCCTTAGGCACATGCATTGGCACTGAGCATAATACCAGC